CACAATGTTGCATATTATATGATCCCATTTCTGCGAAGTATCCAGAATAGGCAAATCCATAGAGACAGAAAGCAGACTGGTGATTGCCAGGGGCTGGTGGGAGGGAGAAATGAGGAGCAATTCCTTACTTGGGAAGGGTTTTTATTTTGTGGCGATGAAAATGTTTTGGAACTAGATGAGATGGTAGTTGCACAGCACTGTGACTATACTAAGCATCACTGAATTGTTCACTTTAAAATGGTTAAATTTACGTTATATGCATTGCACCTCAATTTAGAAAAGATAAAAACATTAAATAAAATTTTGAAAAGAAAGAGTCAAATAATCACCCATAATCCCAGCTTCCTAAGCATACTGGTTTCCGTGGAGGTTAAGGGCATAGGCTTTGGAGTCAGAGACACCTGAGTTCAAAGTAAAATGCCATTTACTGCTTGCTCTGTGACCTTGGATAGATTACTTATCCTCTCATTAAACGACCAGCACTTAAATCCAAACCAAACCCGTTGCCGTTGAGTCAATTCCGACTCATAGTGACCCTACAGAACAGAACACAACTGCCCCATAGGGTTTCCAAAGCTGTAATCTTTACTGAAGCAGACTGCCACATCTTTCTCCTGTGGAGCAGCTGGTGGGCTCAAACCAGTGACCAGCCCAATGCTCAACCACTATGCCACCAGGGCTCCTTGCACAGCCCCTGGCATGCAGTATTTGCTCAACAAAAAGTAGCTTTAAAAAACATTCTAGTTAAAGTGCACACGTATTTTATCACTTCGATCACGCTATATGTAAAATTTAGTATTTTATTTTTTACCTAACATTCCATCACATACTTTCAAAAACTGCTTTTTGTAGTTATTTTATAAAATATTTCAAAAAATAAAGAATAATAGAGCAAACATTAATATACCTATAACCTATTTTAATGTGTGTTAAGATACTGCCAATTTTACTTCAAAAGTTATTTTTATAAAAATAAATCATTATAGATACATTTTAAGCCCCTGTGTAACTTCAGGAAGCCCTGGTGGTGTAGTGGTTAAGAGCTATGGCTGCTAACTGAAAGGTCAGCAGTTCAAATCCACCAGGCATTCCTTGGAAACCCTATGGGGCAGTTCTATCCTGTCACTATGAGTTGGAATCAACTTGATGGCAACAGTGTAACTTCAGAATACTTTTCCCTTCCCTACCTCACCCTCCATCAGTAACTACCAATTTTTTCACAAAATATGTATATACTCAACATATAGTACTGCTTTCATTAAAAAAAGAAAAAAACCTGTATAAATGGCATCATACTTTTTCCACCCAACATTGTTGTCTTAGTTATCTAGTGCTGCTATAACAGAAATACCACAAGTGGATAGCTTTAACAAACAGAAATTTATTTTCCCACAGTTTAGGAAGCTACAAGTCTGAATTCAGAGCACCGCTTCTAGGGAAAGGCTTTCTCTCTCTGTAGGATCTGGAGGAAGGTCCTTGTCTCTACAGCTTCTGTTTCCTGGTTCCTTAGAGATCTCCATGCGTCCTGGTATCTATCTCACCCCATCTCTCTCTGCTCCCTTTTTTGATCTCTTTTCTATCTCAAAAGAGATTGACTCGAGATACACCCTACATTAATCCTGCCTCATTAACATAACAAAGACAACTCATTCCCAAATGGGATTATAACCACAGGCATAGAGGTTAGGATTTACAAAACATATTTTGGGGGGACACAATTCAATCCATAACAATTGTTTTCATGATTTTTATTATTTTAATTATGACAAATGCTGTAATAAACATTCTTGAACATGTCTTCTTGGCACATACAGAAGAGTTCCTCTAGGGCTTAATCTAGAATAAGGATTGTTGGGTTGTAGATCAGAATCTTCAGTTTCACAGATACTATCTAATTATGTTCCAAAGTGGTTATGCCAATTTGTACCCCCACTAGCCTATGAGAGTTCACTTTTCACAGCAAGTTCAATGCTTAGTATTACCAGATGTTTATTTTTGCCAATATGATAGTAGTAAGCTGAAATTGTTTAATCTGTCATTCTCTAATTATAAGCAAAGTAGAGCATCTTTTTGTATATTTATCAGCCATTTGTATTTCCTCCTCTCTGAACTGCCTGTTCATACATTTTATACAATTTTTATTGGGTGATTTTTCTTATACTAGCTACTAATCCTTTGTTGGTTAGAGGTTCAAAAATATCTTCTCCCAGTCTGTGGTTTGACTTTTAACTCTGTTTACAGTGTTTTTAGTTGAACAGGAGTTTTTGGGTTTTGTTTTGATTTTATGTAGACAAATCTTTGCCATGATCATTTGTGCTTCCTTGTGTTTTATTTAAGAAATTGTTCTCTACTCCCAATCATATCTTTCTGTATTTTCTTTTGTAAAAATGTTTACATTTTACATTTAGGTATTTAATCTATCTGGATTAAAGATAATTTGGAGCTATTTTCATGTTCATTTATTTGCCATAGGGATAGGCAATTCTCCAGCACTATATTTTAGATAGTCCATCCCGCCCCACTGATATGTATAGTATCTTTAACATATACCAAGTCCCCAAGTAGGCATGGCTGTATTTCTGAGTCCTCTATTCTGTTCTATTTTTCTATCTGTCAGGCTCTTTGCCTTTATTAAGGAGCCCTGGTGGTACTGTGGTTAAGCGCTTGGCTGCTAACTGAAAGGTCGGCGGTTCAAACCCACCAGCATTCTACTCTGTCCTATTATAAGATCGCTATGAGTCGAAGTTAACTCAATGGCAATGGCTTTGATTTGGTTTGCGTTTATTACCACACAGCTTTAATTGCTATGCCCTTGTTATAGCCCTAATCTCTGGTAGGGCAGGTTCCCTCCTTACGCTTTTTCAAAATTGCCTTGATTTTTCTCAGCCCTTCAGTCATATGTAAATTTTTGGATCAATCCATTAAAAAAAATCCTGCAGGAATTTTGATCGCAATCACATCACAGGCATCTCAAAAACTAATTGTTGAAAGATTCACTAGTTCTTCCAGAATAGCTCTTTCCTAAATACCGTTTAACTCAAGGAACAGCAGAGTTTACAAATGAAGAGGGGAAGGGATTTCACCAACTCCTCCAACGGGCTCCCCTTCCTGATTCTCCTGTTTCTGTCCACGTCCTCGCCATTACCCAAATCCTCAGAGGCCTCACGAGCGTCTCTTTTTCCGTCACTTACATGTCTAGATGTTTACCAGATCCCACCTGCTCTTTCTTTGGATGCCTGTTTTCCAGCCCTTCCTTTCCTTTCTCTGCCACCACCCTGGCTCAGACTCTAGTTCCTCGTCCTGGCCTGGGGCAACGACCTCTAATTTATACCCCTGCTTCTCAAGGCTCGTCTTCCAGCAGTCCATCCAGATTACTGATTAATAGTCCTGAAGCACTGCTTCCATCCAGCCCCTCCCTACCTCACAGCCCCCACTGGCTTCTTGTGTCTAGGGGATAAAGTACAACTCCTCTGCCTTATCCCACCTTAACTGCACAGCCCACTCAGTTGTGCCCTGCTCTCCCCTAACCCAGAAATCTGGAATCTGGTCAGATCTAGCTTCTCACTGTCTGGGGGAACCCTCCTGCTCGGTCTATCTCCATCCCCACCCCAGGAGTGCCCACCCTCCACTCTCTACCCTCCAATCCCTACCTGCTCTAATAGCTCCACCTGCAACAAGGCACCTCACCCAACTCCAAGATCCACAGCGGCCTCCCCACTTTGAACACTTGGTGCTTTTATTTGCGCATTTTGCAGCAAAGCAACGTGAGCGCAGTTCTCACTGCGTAAGGCAGAGTTTCTCAACCTCCAACACTGACACTTCGGCCTGGATAATTCTCTGTTGGGGGGCTGCCCTGTGCTTTGTAGCATGTTTAGCAGCATCCTTGGCCTCCACCCACTAGATGCTAGTACGCCTTCCCAGTTACAGCAACCAAAACTGTTTCCAGACATTGCCAAATGCCCCTGGGGTACAAAATCACCCCTCATCGAGGACCACTGGTGTTAAGGAAGATGCAGACCACCAGCCACGCTCTCTGAACAAGAAGTTTCTGGGCCGGATGCAGCAGCTGCCTACTGTTTCGGATCCACAGAGACCAGGAAGCATCTGTGGATACTCTCTGGCAGTCCGCAATCCCTCTGGACCAGAGCATCTGGAACGAGGCTGAACATTAACCAAGGACAGGGTCCATGTCTGCCTCCTAATGCACACTGGCCAGGTCTGTTGCTAACAGACCATCTACTCCGTGAGGTGACAACATCAGGAAGGAAGGTGGGAAAAGCATGGAGGATGCCACAGAGACACAGGCTCCTACCCGTCACATCTCAGTGGTACTAAACCTTGCAGTTAGAAAACGAAAGACGTGAGCCCCATTTGCTACAAAGATACTAGGGCCACTGGATTGTCAATGTTTTAGGTGCCCACGGAATAAGTCCAGTCCTATGTTTGTCTTCTCACTAGACAAAACAACCTAAACCAAAAGCAGTTCAGTAATAGGATCTAGTTGGCCAACACCGTAAGAACATTTTTATAGCCCCACCTAAGTTTTACGAGCATTATTCATAAAACAGTACTGCTCTAGAATGATACAGGTGCTTTCCCAAGAAGGCTGTTGTGGAGGCCTGTGGGGCCTGGATCATTTGGGCACCATCTTAAGAGGTGGGTTTAGTCTCTGGATGGCCCCGGGGTCTGATAAATGCTCCAGGCTGCAGTCTCCCTAATTTGAATAGGCTTCTAAGCTGGGGTTTGTGGAGATCCAACATGTGGGTTCATCTCCTAGGCTAGCTTGTCCTGGCCCCCTTTGAGCTACTGACTCCTTGAGGAGTTGTTCTTCCCCAAGGCCTTAGCCACGAAGAACACTGGGCCAGCATCCTCCCGGGCTCTCCAAGCTGGCCAGCTTCAGGATCGCCTCTCCCAGATGGGCTCCCGGCAGCTGTCCCTACTTCCCTCTGGGACTCACGGCTCCTCCTTTCAGCTCCCCCCGGGGAGTGCCCATGACTCACCTCTCAGGAGCTGGGCTGCAGTGGGGGGGTGAGAGAAGCAGGCAGGGGAGATGCTGTAATTGGTTTTCAGTACCTCCAGAAGACCTGCCGTGTACCTGGGCAGATACCAGAATTGTGTTCAGAATTGTGGCGTCTGGGGGGTGGGGGGTGGAGTGGCGGAAGTGACACCAGTTACTGACGCTCTGAAACATTCCAGGCTTCAGGGGGCTTATCCATTCGCCCCTCAGGGCCCCGTCAGAGACAGGCTGGGGCTCAGGCCAGTGGCTAGGCAGGCGGCCACCTAGACCAGGGGCAGGTCTGGCCGTGGCGCCCAAACAGCCCACAGTCAATTCTCTCCACGCCTACGGGGCGGCAGCCCAGGGGCTGGCTCAGGAGAAAGAGAAGGGTCCCAGTGCCAGGCTTTCTCGGTAGTAGGCCCTTAGCACCCAGGATGGGTCCCCAGCTGGTCTGAGGCCTTGTGCTTGGCCTGGGAGCCACAGGCAGGCTCCCTCCGGGAAAGCCCTCACACACCCCACCTCTGGGATCTTTCTCTCCACAGTTTGGGGGGCAAAGCTGAGGTCATGAGTGAGGTGTCACGTTGGCCCAACCCCACAGTGTCCCTGAAGGCCTAGGGGACAGCCAGCCAGACTGTTTTCCACTGGTCTCATTCTGGGTGCTGGGAGCCAAAGGGAGGGAGGCGAGGACAGGTCAGAGTATAGGTGCCCCCGTTGCTTAGCAACTGGCTCCTGACCCGGGGGCCCCAGTGCCTTCACTCACCTGGGGTCAAGCTTTATCTGGGTCCTTTCTGGCTCCATGTTCTCCGCTCTCCAGGCAGGCTCTGAGGGGCCGGGGGCGGGCAGGGCGGCGGGGCGGGGGGACCGGCTGAGCGAGCAGCTCCCGCCTTTCCCGGGGGACGCCGTGGGCAGGTGGAGCGGCTGGTCTTCCCCTCTGGCTCTCTCCTCCTCGGGTCTCCAGCACCGACAAGTTTCAGTCTCAGAGTTCACACCGAAGGAATTTGATCCTCTCAGCTGGCTGAGTTCCCTGGTTCCTGACTCCTCCCCGTTCCCAGGCGCGAACCGTCCCGCCGCCTGACCACGGCCGGCCTCGGACCGAGGCCTTTGGCTCCTTGCCCCGCCCGCCCCCCTCTTACATCCCCCCGCCTTTTAGGGCGGCTGCACCCACGGCAAAACCCTTCCGGCGCACGGTTAGGGTGGGGACGACGTTCTCGCTCCTCCCCACGATGTGCCCAGCTCAGCCACTCCGGAGAACCCGGCTGGGGCTCCGCCTGTGGCCCCTGGAGATGAGAGACTCAGGGCCAGGCCTGGGCTGTGTCTGGTGCTCGCGGGCTTGGCGGGAAAGAGAGGACTGCCTGGACAAGCCAGGCGAGGCTGTGAGGGGTTCCCCAGAGGCCAGCCCCTCACATCTTGAGGGTGGGCTTATCTAGCAAACAGCTGGGCCTGGAGATTCCGCCAAGGGGAGGCTGTATTTAGGAGGCAGAGTTGCAGAGTGCGAGTTCTGAGCATCTGGACAGATTTTGCAAAACTCTGCCAAATTATAACTATTTCATCGGCTGGTAGTTTTTCGTCTCTCTCCAAGTAGATTTAAAACTCTTCGAGGCCAAACAGTGTACTACAGACCACCTAGGCTCCTGACACAGGGCCTGACACATACTAAGTGCTCCTTAGCGTTTCGTTGCCTGACTGTTAAAATAATACAATTGCAGCAACAGTGGCAGCTAATGTCTACTGAGCATTTACAGTGTGCCAGGGGCTGTAGGAAATGCACTATATTTCTTATCTCATTGACACCTTCTAATCATTCTTATATAAGTACTATCTTTATTCCCATTTTCCAGATGAGGAAACTGAGGCTCGGCAAGCCTAAGAAACCAGGTTAGACAGCCAGCCAGGGAGGGGCGTGGAGAGAGGCAGAAGGGACTGGATGAGGGATTCTGTTGCAGTTCAAGTGAAGACTTTAGAGCGTGAGAAATGAACTCATTTGAGGGTCGAGAGGGTGCATTCAGGGAAGGTACAGGAGGCTCCCTGACCTGGACTGGTGAGTAGATACAAGCAGAGGAAGTCGTTACTGATGTGGTACCAGCAAGCTTCCCTAATCTTGTCCCAAAACACCTCAAAATATCTCTCCAGGGTGAAGCAGCATCTCTCCCTGTTTCACCTTCCTCTTAAAGTACGAATTCTTGGGTCAGGGCAATGTAGTGAACCAGGAGCCTTAGGAGCCCAACTGCCAACCCAAATGCAAGGGGCGTCAAGAGGGGGATGGGGAGGGCAGGGTTCCTAAGGCAGAGGTAAGGGCACAAAAAGGAAAGCAAGGGCACCGACCCCACAGGGGCCAATTACCTCAGCCCAACCTTGACAAAGACACAGGCTGACTCAGCTTCCTCAAACCATTTCCAGAGGAACGTTCCCTGGGTCATTCATCTCTAGCCCAGTAAGAGACCTTGAGCGTAATTGCCCAAAGCCCTGAACTTTAGACTCCCTAGAGCAGATAACAGGGTGCTGAGGATGTTCTCTGAAGCTTCTTCAGGACAGAATTGAGGGGCGGGTGGGGAGGAAGGAGAGGAGGCCTGGAGAGCAGGAGGGAGTCGGGAGGGGAAGGCAGCTGGGCAGCAGGGCCTGGGAGGCCAGAGGGGAGACTGGACAATCCTCAGGGTGGACATCGACTGAGGGAGGAAGAAATGGCAGGGTGAGGGTGAGAGGGAGGGCTCGAGCACTGCTGGGCATTTCCGCTCCACCCGAAGCCACTAAGTGACTATGTTCTGTACAGGGTGACGTTGCACACTGCCCGAGGGGTAACCAACAAACAAACCCGTTGCCCAAGAGTCCATTCCAACTCATAGCGACCATATAGGAGAGAGGAGAACTGCCCCATAAGGTTCCCAAGGAGCAGCTGGTGAATTCGAACTGCCAAACTTTTGGTTAGCAGCCGAGCTCTTTAACCACTTTACCACCAGGGCCCGGATCATGGGTTAGACCAAGGCCAGCCCATCCATAGCTAACACTTGGCAAGAGAAGATGAGCTAGGGCAGCCAATCAGATTATTCTCCTGGCAGTTTTGGAACTAGGAGACCAAGAACCTACTAGATGCAAGGCGCTAATGTTTAGAACCAAGAAGAATGAATCAAGTGTTACTCTTTTTTTTTTTCCTTTGGCCTAATTTTCCCCACAAAATTATATGATAACATGATATGACATCTGTCACTTCACTTTGGGCTTTCTCAACATAAGCGTCGTTTTGAAAATCAAAAAACACCAAAAAACAGGGGTTTCATCACTTTTCCCCAGGGCTCCTCAATTATTTGCTACTCAAAGGCCATTCTTTCTTCTTTTAAAACGTTCTTATTGAGATAAAATTCACAAAACAAAATTCAGCAATTTAATTATTTGAAAGTATATAATTCAGTGGTTTTTAGTATACTCACAATGTCCAACCATCACCACTATCTAATTCCAGAATATTTTATTACCCCAAAAAGAAACCTCGTACCTCCTAATTTCCCCCCACCCCCATGCCCTGGCAACCACTAATCTACTTCCTGTCTCTATGGATTTGCCTATTCTGGACATTTCATATAAATGAATCCATACAATATGTGGCCTTTTATGTCTGTGTTCTTTCACTTAGCATAATGTTTTCAAGGTTCAAGCATGTTATCACATGTATCAGTACTTCATTCCTTTTTATGGTTGAATAATATTCCCTTGTGTGTATATGCCACTTTTGTTGATCTGTTCAACAGCTGGTGAACATTTGGGTTGTTTCCGTTTCTTGTCTATTATGAGTAATGCTGCTATGAACATTTGTGTACAAGTTTTTGTGTGAACATGTTTTCAGTTCTCTTAGGTTTATACCATATTTTTATGCAAATAATGTGCATGTTATACATTTTTTGCCAGCCATGAAACACCCTTGCACATTATTTTCCTAGGCACGCTATGCACGTTATATGTGTGTGGACGCATTATTTACATGGGTGCATGACTGCCAAAAAAAAAAAAATACGGCACCTAAGAGTGGAATTGCTGGGTGATATGGTAACTCTATGTTTAGCATTTTGAGGAACGGCCACACTGTTTTCCACAGCTGCTGCACCATTTTACATTCTCATCAACAACGGATGAGAGTTCCAACTTCTCCACATCCTTGCCAACACTTGTTATCGCCCCTATCACTTTTTTTTTTAATAGCCATCCTAAAACCCGAAAACCAAACCCATTGCCATCAAGTCTATTCCAACTCATGGTGACCCCACGTACAACAGAACGAAACACTGCCTGGTCCTTTGCCATCCTCACAATCATTGTTATACTTGAGCCTATCATTGCAGGTACGGTGTCAATCCATCTCTTTGAGGGTCTTCCTCTTTTTCGCTGACCCTTTACTTTACCAAGCATGAGGTCCTTCTCCGGGGACTGATCCCTCCTGATAACACGTCCAAAGCATGTGAGACGAGGTCTCGCCATCCTTGCTTCTAAGGAGCATTCTGGCTGTACTTCTTCCAAGACAGACTGAGCATTGGGCTCTTTCAAATTCTATCTATATAGGATCAAACTGACAACAGCGACTAGAAAGATTAGATAGGAACTTAGAGGGTAGTGAGTTTATGTTAGTGGGGAGGAACAACTCGGAAAAGGAGAGTGAGAATGGTGGCACAATTCGAAGAATGTAATCAATGCTATTAAATTGTGCACGTAGCAACTGTTGAATTGGTGTATGTTTTGCTGTGTATATTCTCAACAACAACAACGAAATAAATACAATTTAAAAAACTAGAAAATTATGTATTGAGATCTTTGATGTGGAAAGCCCAAGGGGAGTCATTGTTTTCTTTTGTTTTTTTCTTCATGGTACCTTTCACAAAATCAATACTGTTGTGCCTAAACACATTTCTTTAACTGTTAAGGAATCTTAAAAGAAGATAACTAGCGATTAAACCATCAAACTTTAAAACAAACATGAGAATGTAAGGGGGTAGGGAAACTAGATTAGTGGAAACGGAACAACCAGAACGGAAATAATGAGAACGTTCATGCATTGTGAAGAATGTAACCAATGAACAACTTGTGTAGAAATTGTTGAATGGAGACCCAAACTGCTGGGTAAGCCTTTACTGAAAACACAATAAAATATTATTAAAAAAATAAAATGGCCTATAAAAAAACCAAAACCAAACTCATTGCCGTCAAGCTGATTCCAACTCATAGCAACCCTATAGGACAGAGTAGAACTGCCCCATAGGGTATCCAAGGAGCAGCTGCTGGATTTGAACGGCCGACCTTTTGGTTAGCAGCCGAGCTCTTAACCACTATGCCACCAGGGCTCCTAATGGCCTATAGGCATATAAAAATATTTAATTTCCCGTATAATTTTAAGAGGTATAAATGAAAAGATCAAGGTATCATTTGTCACCTATAAAATTGAAAATTATTTAAATTAATAGTTAATTATACTGCTAGTATTATAATGTGGATATGCTCCTAATAGGGATTAAAATGCTTTCTGGAAAGCATTTTGCAAAATATACAAAAGATGTGTTAAATATTCAGATCCAACGAGCCAAAATCCAATCATTAGAAATCTATTCTAAGGAAATTAAATTAGAGATGCGGCAAAAATATATTTTCAAGGGTCTTTATTTCATTATTGTTTATGATGGTGGAAAACCAGCTATTAAACAGTGTTGCCCCCAAATCCATGTTCACCCAGAATGTGTGAATGTGACCTTATTTGGAAAGAGGGTCTTTATAGATGTAATCAAGTTAAGATGAGGTCATACCGGATTAGGATGGGCCATAAATCCAGTATGACTGGTGTCTTATAAAAGAGAGAAACTTGGACACAGAGACAGAGACACACAGCAAAATGACACGTGACGACAGAGGCAGAGATTGGAATTTTGCTGTCACAAGCCAAGGAAGGCCAGGGATTATCGGTAACCACCAGAAGCTAAATTTGGGTCCTAGTCTCAGAAAACAGTAACATCAAAAAGAGTCGTCAGTTCAGTACAAGCGCCTGAGGATAAGAAATGGTCACAGCATTGACTGGACTGTTAATCAGAATAGCAACCTTCACACAGCACAGCAGAAGGTAACATACCAAACATTTGGCATTTTCCGTTTTTCTAGAAGTAAAGAATCCCTCATTAATTTGATTATCTATGATTATAAAATTTTATTCATTTTTATCGTAGCGAGTATATATATATATGGTGGCGTAGTGGTTAAGAGCTTGGCTGCTAAGCAAAAGGTCGGCAGTTTGAATCCACCAGCCGCTCCCTGGAAACACTATGGGGCAGTTCTACTTTGTTCTATAGGGTTGCTATGAGTCGGAATTGACTCAATGGCAATGGGTATATACATCACATACATACACACATATGTATATATACAAAACAAGAAATTGGCATTTCAAAATCTTTTACCTGCACAATTCAGTGACATTAATAACATTTTCAAAAAACAGCAAAAAAGTATATAAGTGAGTAGACCCCAGGTCTATTCAGGTCAGATAAGATAATAGCTCTACCACCAGATAGAATAGGCAGAAAGCAGATAATAAGTTTTTACTGCTTCATGATGAAAACATACTGTTACTCAAAGGTCATTTATCAAGATACCAATTTTCTCTTCTCTATTATACATAAACTTAAAAGAATAATTTTACTATATTTCAATAAACAGCTATTTAAAATGACCATACATACATAAAGGAGCGGGCTGGTGTGAACCCTAACCTTGATGACACCTAGTTGTCTTGCCCAAGCTGCCTCTCCAAGCTATCATTTTGGAAGGCAAGATGACACTAAATCAAATACATAAATGCCTTTCAAAATGGCCATTAGACTTGGACAAGCAGGAACTCTGAAAATCCTTGCAAAAATCCCAGTTGGCAAATTCACAAAAAAAGAGCAGACTTACTGGTCTGACAGAGACGGGAGGAACCCCCGAGACTATGGCCCCTGAACCCCCTACTAATTCAGAACTGAAGCCACTTCCGAAGCTCACCTTTCAGCCAAAGATTAGACAGGCCTATAAAACCAACACCACCACACGTGAAGAACGTGCTTCTAACTTCAATCAAGCATAGGAGATCAAATGGGCAACACCTGCCCAAAAGCAAAGATGAGAAGGCAGGAAGGGACAGGGAACCTGGATGAACGGATACAGGGAACCCCGGAGTGTAAAGGGAAAGGGGGAGAGCGCTGACACATAGCAGGGATTGCAGCCGATGTTACAAAGCAATTTGTGTATAAATTTTTGAATGAGAAACTAATTTGCCATGTAAACTTTCACTAAAGCACAATAAAATTAAAAACAAAACAAAATCTCCCCATTCCATTCATTGTCGCAGGTCTGAAACAGTGCATGCTCACCTCCAGAAAGGCCTTGACAGCACAACTCCATAACGGATTAAACAGGTTTGAAAACATTAATCACCAGCATGTGTCAAAGTTTTATTTCAAGTTATATCTGAGTTTGTGCTATCACGGGGCACATTATTTTAGGGTTTTATTGATTTTACTTCTATCTGTTCACTTCTAGAAAATGGTTGAAGCAGCTTGTAATAAAAAAGAAAGGTCCAATGAGATAAAAATTACCCAAGATAAAAAGATGAAGAAATGCACGAAGATGAAGGAGACAAGCTCTATTTCAAATTCTCAACTAAATAGGGATGTGGACCTCACCAGCATGTGGGCTCCCCTGGAGCCATGGGTTCCCTGCCTCGACAGCGCCCTCTTGGGGGAACAATAGGGCTTCAGCCCTTCTCTTTGCTCTAGTTGTTTGGGGAGTCACACTGTACTACATCACCACCATCATACCCTCAGTCTCTGCTAGGACCCGTCAGCACACTCTATTCCAATTATATGGTGGACAGAGGTCATAAGAAAGGCAGACAGAAAGTGTTCTGGAAGTTAATTCCATCTGTAGGGAGTGCAGAGGATCAGAAAATTTCATGGAGGGGAAATGAATGACTCATCAGTCAGAGTTCTCTGCTGAAGCAGCATAAGACCCTGGCTGGTTAGGCACAAAAAGAGTTCATTCAAAGGATGCTGAGTGGCTCATAGAATGGTTGTGAGGACTGGAGTCAAGTTGGAGGCTAAGCTTCTAGGACACACCTAAAATGGATCTGATGAGAAACCTCCGCAACCACCAAGGACTTGGAGCCTCAGCTGCCAGGGGCCACTTCTGTGCAAGAACTTGACTGCAGCCGTGGCTGCCTCCAGCCCTGAAGCCACTTCTGCACCACGACTCAACTTCCCAACCATCTCTATGGCCTTTACCCAAGAGAGACCCTTCCTGTTACCTGGCAGCTCCTGAGACAGGGTTTGGCGTGGGTTTCTCTGACTGGTGGCGCCAGGGTCATAGGCCTTTGTGCTTGTGGCAAGGGAGACTGAGAACTGTCATTTTCAGCTCCAGCTGGAATGGGGAAATGGTCATTGAGACTTATGATATGGGAAATCCTCCAAACACAGAGGGGTTCAGATGATCAGTGGCCAAAACAAAAGCCACATGTCAGTGTCTTGTCACAGAAAACTCATTTATTTTCTCACATGACAAGCAGCTCAGAGGTGGGCTGTCCAGGGCTGGAGCAGCTACTCAATTCTGCCGTCAAGTTCTGTCTGGCTGCATGTCACCTAAAGGAACCTAGGTGGCACCCCCCAGCCAGCACGCCTAGGTTCAAGACAGAAAGAAGGGGAGGGCTGTGTGAACTGTGTCTTCCTTCCTTTTGACAGGAAAGCAAAAGCTTTTCTAGTAACCCTCAGTGGACATCCACTTGCATCTCATTGACCAGAATTGTATCATGAAGTCAACCTGGAAACGAGGAAGTAGGGAAATTACTTAACTGAGCAGACTGCTGGTCCCCTCCCACCTGGTGAGGTTTTGTAACTGAAGGAAAAAGGAGAACACAGAAATGAGTGGGCAATGAGCATGATGAGCACTAGGCCTGAAAGGGTGGTTGGACTCACCAACCTTCTTCCTACTTTTCTCTAATTTCTCATGGTCTCAAAGCCACCCTCACAGAGGCCAAGCCTCTCAGTCCCCAGCACCTGTGTGGGAAGGGAGGGTTTGCAGTTGGAAATGGTGGTCCCTCAAAGCAACCAGAGCAGACTGCAGACATCTGCTGAGGGCCCCCGACCCCCATTCTCCTCGGCTTCTGTGATGTCACACTGGGGCTTCTTTCCTTCCACCCTGGGCTGTGGCTTCTGAGGCCGCTGTGGCCATGGGGCTCTGGGAGCCAGCAGGGGGGAAGGAGCCCTCGGGTGGCTCTGTTCTCCCCGGGGGACGCGCGAGACCCAGCCATGCCGACCTTGAAGAAGCCCCGGCCCCCACCACAGGCCCCGCTTCCCTGGATCCTCCCGAGCCTGTTTGCCGCCTTCAATGTAGTGCTGCTGGTCTTTTTCGGCGGGCTCTTCTTCGCATTCCCGTGAGTCTCCCACGTAGGCTGGCAGGTGTCCTACAAAAAGACAGAAAGGAAAACAGATCCTGATAGTACGGGGCAGGGCAAGTGTGGAAGAGGGGGTCAGGAGTCAGGAAGGGAGGATTTGGGGCAGTGGGAACAGAATGTGCAAAGGCACAGTGATATAGAGTGCCTGCTGAGGAGCTGCAGGTGGCTCGTAGTGCTGGTGACATGTGGCAGAGCCTCTATGGGTCTGTCACCAGCCTGGATTTTTAGAGCAGGCCTTAAGCTGTTCTGTGGGTCCTGACCCTGGAATATCGAGCCCTGGGGGAGCTGCAGGTGGCTCTAGATCAGGGCTGAGCCAGGCTCTGGTGTCAGTTGCAGGTGGCTGGCCCAGAGTGGGGAGTGGGCCTTTCCCGTCATCACAGGCCTCCTCTTTGTCCTCACCTTCTGCAGTCTCATTTCACTCAACTTCTCAGACCCTGGCATCTTGCATCGAGGTGAGGCCTTGGTCCCCTGGGAGAAGGAGGTGGCGCCCTAGGGGCTGGTGCCTGGCAGAGGAGGTTCTTCACGTGCTCCTCCTCTCTCCCTTCCTGGGCCTCAGGACCCTCAACCCCACAGCCTTATTTTCTGGCCCTGCTCCTGGCATTTCATTTCCAAGCCACTGAGGTGTAGAAAAACTAGAATTCTGGAGCTTTTCTAGCTGCTTTGGAGGGGAGGATGGGCAGGCTGGGGAGGGAAGCCAGCTCGATGCAACCACTCTGTGTTCTCTTCCTGCTTCCCACTGCACACTCCTGAAAGCATCAACCACAGCTCTAACGGCCTGAGAGTTCCTGGAACGCCACCTGCCTCTCTAACCACCAGGCTCTCTGAGCTTGGCAAACTTGCTTAATGGAGACCAGGGATTCTCCTGCCCCTGCTCCCCACCCTTCTGGGTACCCAGTGATGCCGTGTGGCTGTCCTCCCCCCGGACAGCAAAGTGGGTGATCTCAGGGTCTGCTGCGCCCCTCACTCTGCCCCCAACCCTCTCCTCGCTCCAGGCTCCGACGATCAGGGCCCCATGATGGTACACGTGGTGTGGGTGAACCACAGGGCCTTCCGCCTGCAGTGGTGCCAGAAGTGCGGCTTCCACCGCCCACCACGAACCTACCACTGCCCCTGGTGCAACGTCTGTGTGGAGGTGAGTGCCCCTCTCCTGCCCCCGCAGCACCTGGCTGGGACCAGGAGTCCCACGTACTCAGGAGCCACGGACGGGTGTGGAATCACCTTCAGGACTGCTAAAAGCCAAGGCTGGCGGCAGCTCTCAGCTACTCTGGGTCACCTGCACAGTCACTGCCTCCAGGCCAGCTGTGATTGGCGTGGGAGGCTGGCCTTGCCCACACAGTGCTGACACACCTAGGGGCACCCACATCTATGCTGATCAGGCCAGGGGAGGAAAGTAGCCCCTGCCTGGCTCCCAGGCTCCCTGACAGTAGATACCCAAGGCCCTCAGGGGAGGAGCTGGCTACAGGCCAGCCTGCGTAGCTTTACCTGTGCTCCTCTGGGGATCCGGGTCAGCAGGTCTCCTGGGTTCTGAGAGCTTGTCCCTCTCATGTCATAGCCCACAAAGATTTACAAGTGCACTGTCTGATCTGGTCCTTCCAACCCTGAAGAGGCTGGCTGGCTACGGTGTTATTATTACCCTTCTCTAAGGGATGAGAAAATGGAGGCTGGAGATGTTCTATGTTCTGCCCCAAATTACACCAGGCTGTGACTCACAGAAGGCCAGGCAGGCCTTATCTCTAAAAGGCCTGGTGAAGGCCGACCTTGGCAGCCACAGAGCCTTAGCCAAGCTCTACCCACAAAAATGCCAGCCTTAGTAACTTTGTGGCTCAGTTTCTCCCAGGGTTGTGGGAGCCAGGAGGTGGGGCCAAGGGCAGGTTTGAGGCAGCCTAGGGAGCCTGGGGGGTGTGGTGGTGAAGAGCTATGGCTGCTAACTGAAAGGTTGATAGTTCGAATCCACGAGCTTGTTCCTTGGAAACCTCATGGGTAGTTCTACTCTGTCCTATAGGGTTGCTATGAGTCAGAATTGGGTCAACGAAACAGGTTTGGGTTTTTTGGTTTTGGGGCCTGGGGAAGGTCTTAATTTGGGGGGCCTTAGGGGTTGGGTCAAAGGACGGGTTCTCAGGGCACCAGAGGAGTTCTCGAGGCCTGGCCCCTCTCTCTCTCTATCCCAGGACTTCGACCACCACTGCAAGTGGGTCAATAACTGCGTCGGTCACCGCAACTTCCGCCTCTTCATGCTGCTCGTGCTGTCCCTATGCCTCTTTTCGGGTGCCGTGCTCGTCACCTGCCTCGTCTACCTGGTGCGCACAACCCACATGCCCTTCTCCATAGACAAGGCCGTCGCGTATCCGCCCAGGACCTCAGGACGCGGGAGAGATGCCGTGAGGGGGGCGGGGACAACAAAGGACGGTGGGCGAGGTCGGGGTGGGGCGATTTTGGGGGCGGAGCGATGTTGGAGGTGGGGCGAGATCGGGGCGGGGTGATGTTGCGGGTGGGGTCAGGGCGGGGCGATGTTGGGGGTGGAGTCGGGTGTGAGAAGGCGGGGCCAAGGGCAGGGGCGGTGGCGCAGCTCCTTAACCCGCGCGCAGTATTGTCGTGGCTGTACCCGCCACCGGCCTCCTGGTGCCGCTGTCCCTGCTGCTGCTGATCCAGGCGCTGTCGGTGAGCGCGGCCGAGCGCTCCTACGAGGGCAAGGTACGCGGGGCCGAGCGGGGCGCTGCGACACTAGGCTGTGGGTAGCCAGTGACCTTGCGCCTCCTTGCACTCTCCGCTCGTTCCGTACTCCTGGTCCCTGATGATGGCCTAGCCTCCTTCGAAGGTGCCTCATTAGTCCTTCCAGACCTATCTCTTAAGATTCAGCGCACACCTCCCCTACTCCTGGAGGTCAGTGGTCACGCCTCTGTCGTTGGTGCTCCCGTGGCTCCCGCTCGCAGTTTCCCTCGGCTGGGCGGTGTGTGTGCTATTTTGAGTGCTGCATTCTGCACTCGTGTTGATGAGGAACTTGACAGCAGAATACCACTCGCCGGACACCCGTGAGCCCTCAGAGGGGGGCTGTGCGCCTAGAAGGAATTGAGAGTTCGGTGAGGACCGCAGGGTAGAGGTAGTACATGTCACTTAGTGGTTTTGGAGATGCAGAAGATAGAGGAAGGGAATTGCACGGCTTGCAAAAAGGCAGGGAAGCCTGAAAGTCTGTGGAACGTTGGTGGAGTAGTGAGGAAACAGTTCTAATTGGAGGAGAAGATGGCATGGGATTCAAGATGGCTGCTTGGGGTTGGCCAGATTAGAAAATCCCTGAACGGCTGGCGGACAATTCAGTCTTGGTGCAGTGGAAACCTGGAGCCTTGGTGGGATTTTTTTAATGTTAGGTTTATTGAGGTCTAATTTACATACAGTAAAATTCCCCCTTTTTTAGTGCACAGTTTCGTGAGTTTTGATAAACGTACACACTTCTATAACCACCATCATAATCAAGATTTATAGAACCGCTCCACCATCCCAGAAAATTCCCTCTGCCCCTTTGTAGTCAACTCCTGCCCCTACCCACCTTCCCCGGCAACCATTGATTTCTTTCTTGTCCCTGTAGTTTTTCCTTTTCCGGAATGTCATAGAAATGGAATCATAATCTTTTGAGTCTAGCTTCTTTCACTTAGCACAATACATTTGCCATTCATTCATGTTGTTGCCTTTTTTTACTGCTGAGGACTGCATTGTATGGATGTACCACAGCTTGTTTATCCATTCTCCAACTGAAGGATGTTGGGTTGTTTCCAGTTTTTGTCAATTATGAATAAAACATCTATAAACACTTGTGTACAGGCATGTGGAGGAGTCCCTGGGTGGCCCAAACAGTTAGCGTTCAGCACCTCAGAAGAAAGGCCTGGTGATCTACTTCTGAAAGACCACAGCTGTTGAAAACCTTGTGTGCAGTTCTACTCTGAAACACCTGGGAATCGACTCGGTGGCAGCTGGTTTGGTTTTTTACAGGCATGTGAACATAAGTTTTCATTTCTCTCGAGTAAATACCTAGGATTGGCATTGTTGGATCACGTGACAAGTATATGTTTAACTTTATAAGAAACTGCCGAATTGTCTTCCCAAATGGCTGTATCATTTTGCATTCCCACCAACAATGTATGAGAATGCCAGTTGTTCTGCATCCTCAAAGGAGCCCCGGTGGCACAGTAATTAAGCGCTCGGCTGTTAACTTAGAGGTCGATGATTTGAACCCGCCAGCCTCTCCAAGGGAGAAAGACTTGGCAGTTTGCTTCTGTAAAGATTACAGCCTTGGATACCCTATGGAGCAGTTCTGTTTTGTCCTGCAGGGTCTCCGTGAGTTGGAATCGACTTGACAGCAATGAGTCTGCACCCTCACCAGTGCTTGGCATTATCAGGGTTTGTTTTGTTTTAATTTTAGCCATTCTGATAGATGTGTCTGTTGGTTTTATTTGCATTGTCCTAATGGGTAGTGATGTGGAGCATCTTTTCATGTTCTTATTTGTCATCTTTATATCTTTGATGAAGTGTCTGTTCCAATCTTTACCCATTAAAAAGAAAGGGGGCTGTTTTCATTGAATTTTGAATTCTTTTTATAATCTTGATACAGATGTGTGTCTTGCAAATATTTTCTTCCAGTCTATAGCTTATCATTTCATTTTCTTAACAGTATCTTCAAAAGAGCAGAAGTTTTTAATTTTGATGAAGTAAAATTTATCAGTTTTTTTTTATGGGTCATACTTTTTGCTATTGTAACTAAGAAGACTTTGCTTAACCCAAGATCACAAAGATTTTCTCCTTTAAGTTTTATAGTTTTAGATTTTACTTTTAGGTCTATGATTCATTCAGGGTTAAATTTTGTGTATGGTACAAGGTATGGGTCAAGATTTTTTTTTTTTTTTTTGGCATATGGATTCTTCCAGCACCATTTGTTGAAAGACTATCTTTCCTCCATTGAGTTGACTTTGCACAGTTGTCAAAAATCAGTTGACCATATATGTGTGGCGCTTTCCACTCTTTTGCCAATATCATACTGTGCTGATTACTATAGCTTTATATAGTAAGTCTTGAAATCAGGTAATGTGAGTTTTTCAACTTTATTTCCCCCCAAAGTTCTTTTAGCTTTTATACTTCATTTGCTTTTCCATATAAATTTTAGAATCAGCTTATCAATTTCTATTAAAAAATCTGTTGGAATTTTCATTGGTATTGAATTGACCCTATAGGTCAGTTTGGGGAGAATTGACATTTGAACAATATCGAGGCTTTGGATCCATAAACATGGTATACCTCTTCATTTATTTATTCATTTATTCCTCCCCTGAACTCACCTCCTCCTGAGGCTGTTTGCTCAGTGGTTGATAGCAAGGGCTCTGGAGCCAGACCACGTAAATTCAGCCCACAGCTCTACAACTTACCAGCAGAGATCTTGGGTACGTTATTTAGCTGCCCAGTGACTCAGTTTCCCCACCTGTAAAATGGGGCAGCATGGGTTAAGATGTGTAAGACTCATAGAATAGTGGCTGGTACAAGTAAGTGCCCTATCAAAAAAAAAAAACAAACAAAAAAAAACCAAACCTATCGCCATCAAGTCGATTGTGACTCATAGTGACCCTATAGGACAGAGTAGAACTGCCCCATAGGGTTTCCAAGAAGCAGCTGGTGGATTCGAACTGCCGACCTTTTAGTTAGCAGCCGAGCTCTTAACCACTGCACCACCAGGGCTCCAAGTGCCCTATATGTTGTTGTTATTATTATTACCACTCCTATCCCTCATCAGTTATACATGGTCATGTCTCTCATATCTTAAAAGCAAAGCAGAACTCTTAACGTTACAGGCCTCCACCCCACCTACTGGAACCTCCTCTCCAGTACGGCCATACTTCCTGAAAGAGCTGTGCTCACTGTTTCTATTCTTCACCTTCCTCGGCCCCCTCCAGCCCGGGCCCTGCCCTCACTGTCACATGGATGCCACTCTCCCCAGGCGGCCAAAGCCAGCAACAGTCCTCAGACCTAATGTTTCTGGCGTGCACACAGCAGCATCTGAAACTGAGCCCCCCATCTTCCCCATCCTCTCTGCTTTCCTGGGCTGCTGCTCCTCTGCCTGTACCTCAGAGTCCTGTCTTTGACCACCTGTTCTTCTCACTTGAGCCCCCTCTGTGCTGCCCTGAGCACCCCCACAGTACCTCAGACCCTGTCTTGTAGCTGCCCTCATTACCCAGAAAATTAAGGCTGGCTGAAGGAGCCCTGGTGGCCCAATGGTTAAGTACTTGGCTGTTAACCGAAAGGTTGATGGTTCAAACCTACCCAGCAGCTCCAAAGGAGAAAGACCTGGCAATCTGGCCCCATAAAGATTACAGCCTAGAAAACCCTGTGGGGCAGCTCTACTCTGTTACATGGGGTTGCTCTGAGTCAAAAGTTAACGCAACAGCACCCAACCACAATGGTGTTTAAGATTGTGTCAAATAGTGTCACTAGGGTTGGTGTCAAACAGTGCAGTAACCCATGGTGTCACTCCCCCAACCCCCATGGACCTCCTCCCAAAGCAGACCATACAGAATCCTTAGTAATGTTTTTTGTACTAATATATTTTTTTAAGTTTTCAATCTTTTTAATGTACTTTAGATGGAGGTTTACAGAACAAATAGTTTCTCATTTAACAGTTACTACAAATATTGTTTTATGACAATGGTTAACAACCCCACAACACGTCAACACTGTAAACCTTGGGTTCCCTATTACCGCTTCCTGTCCCCTCCAGCCTTCTAGTCCTTGTCCCCGGACTGTTGTGCCCCATTAGTCTCATTTTGTTTTATGGGGCTGTTTAATCTTTGGCTGAAGGGTGAACCTCGGGAGTGACTTCATTACTGAGCTAAAAGGGTGTCTGGGGGCCATACTCTCAGGGTTTCTCCAGTCTCTGTCAGGCTAGTAAGTCTGGTCTTTTTTTGTGAGTTAGAATTTTGTTCTACATTTTTCTCCACCTCTGTCCAGGAATCTGTTGTGATCCCAGTCAGAGCAGTCAGTGGTGGTAAGTGGGCACCATCTAGTTGTCCTGGACTCAGTCTAGTGGAGGCCGTGGTAGTTGTGGTCCATTAGTCCTTTGATCTTTCCCTTGTATCTTGTTCTCTTCATTCTCCCTTGCTCCCGAAGGGGTGAGACCAGTGGAGTATCTTAGGTGGCTGCTCACAGGCTTTTAAGACCCCAGACGCTACTCACCAAAGTAGAATGTAGAACATTTTCTTTATAAACTGTGTGATGCCAACTGAGCTAGATATTCACCGAGACCATGGTCCCCACAGCCCTCCGCCCAGCAATTCAGTCCCTCAGGGAGTTTGGATGTGTCTATGGAGCTTCCATGACCTTTCCTTGTACAAGTTGTGCTGGCTTCTGCAGTATTGTGTCCTGTCTTACCCTTCACCAAAGTTACCACTTACCTATTATCTATTTAATATTCCCCTCCTCTATCCCTCCCATCCCTCTTAACCAACAAAGGTTGTTTCTTTTTGTGTGTAAACTTTTTCATGAGTTTTTACAGTAAAGGTCTCATACAATATTTGTCCTTTTGTGATTGACTTATTCACTCAGCATAATGCCCTCCAGGTTCATCCATGTTATGAGATGCTTCACAGATTGATCCTTGTTCCTAATCGTTGCATGTACTAATATTTTTTATTTTTCTCTTTCTTTTCCTTTAATTACTACTTTATTCTCAAAAAAGTTATTGATGTAGATTCACAAATACTGATTGCCACAATATTGTAGCTGAAACACCAGAAAAGTTGACAAAACCCACAACTATAAAAATACCGGCAGCAACTAAAAACAGTGCATGCTTGGGGTGCGTGCAGATAAAACCACTCGATTCTAAGCATCTGACCACAGTGCATTAGAAGGTTCAAAAAGTAAATTAGCATAGAGTTTTAACCTCGTAGGTATATGGATACATGTGAGCTGGGTTTATGAAAAAATATTTTTGTTGTTATAACTAACTACAGGGATATTTTTATAAAAAATAATAAATTTCTGCAGAAACACTGCACAAAAATTTTATAGACAGTCATTTTGCTGTCACTTCCTCTGACAGTGTCACTCAGTATGGTCCACACCCCCTGAATCTCTCTAGTGACACCACTGGTTGTGTCCTCAATCACCAGTATGGTGCCTGGAACATTGTTGGGGCCCCAAAATATTTCTGAATAAATGAGTGAAGTAATAAGCAAATGAGCCAGTAATGCTTTGGGGGAGCAGGAGAGGGAGAAAGAGAAGAAGCTTGATGCCTTGGTGCCTGGAGAAATGAGAGGTTGGCAGGGAGGCAGCAGGGCATTAAGCGGGAGATGTCCACTTTAATTTTGGTCCTGTGGAGTGTGAGGACATTTGAGACACGGACTTGGAGCAGGAGGCCCAGGACTGGAGCGAGTGAGAGAAGACAGTCTGGAAGCTTTGGAGCTATTGAATTCTCTTCCCATCTGAGAGATACTGTGTGTGGAAAGGAAGGTGCTCTACCTTTTGGTCCGTTCTTATACATTTGTTAAACAACTATCATTCCTTTAAGTATTGGACAATCAACATTTTTCACATACAACTCATAAATCAAAATTTATTTTCCTAAATTTAAAAATTCTCATTGCAAACGTAATCAACCTCTTCTAAACATTTAATTGAAATCACGAAGAGAGTACCAGTTCTCTCGAATGCTTTAAACACCTTTGGAAGCGGGCAGAACCCAAAACATCACAATGGTTAGTGTTGCTTCTCAGCAACAATGGGATATTCCAGAACCATTCTGATTTTTCCTCCCCCAGACACAGGGTCAGCTCCCTTCATGAAGTCCTGGTTGTTTTTGGTGGAAGATACTGTTGAAGATCACACTCTTCGTGATAGGGACATGGGGCACAGGAGAGTCGGTGGTGGCCAGAGGTGCTGCTCGGCCACTTTAGGTCATGACAAAACATTTTATAGCTAAGGCTCTTGAAGTTGGGGTGAGGCTTGGTCTGCACGGGGGAGGAGGAAGGGTTAGGAAGGAGGCCAGGTAGACAGGTGGAGAGTTGAAGATGGGGAGGAGGGCAGCCTGGTCAACAGTGTCATGGCTGCAGATCAGGGGAGGACTTGACCTTGGGCCTTGACCTTTACTGCGTTGTGTGCTCAGGGCCTTCAGCCCACATTTTCCAGGGCTATCTGATTTTAGTTAGATTGAGCCCCCACACAGCTGCCCTTCCAGATAGCCAAATTCAGCGAAGGCACAAGTTAGGGAAAAATGAGAGGTGGGAAAGTGGAGAAGTGGGGTGGAACTGTCTTTGGAGCCATTTAGCAGCAAGTGGAAGATCTGAAAGTTTATCTGGAAGGAGGTAGCAGGATGATGTGTGGGGCCAGTGGAGATGGGGAGACTGCGAAAGAGGAGACAAGATGATGGGGGGCTGTCTTAGTTTTCTAGGGCTGCCATATCAAAGTACCACAAATCAAGTGGCTTTAACACCACAGGGGTTTGTTGTCTCCCCGTTCTGGAGTCCAGGAGTCTGAATTTAGGGTGTTGGCAGGGCCATGCTCTCTGAAGGCTCTAGGGGAAGATCCTTGCTTGTCTCTGCCCGCTTCTGGCTGCCCCGGGCGTTCCTTTGCTTGTAGCCTTGGCCTAATGCCATGTCTGCCTCCTCCTCGCATGGCGTTCTTCCCTCTGCCTCTCTCCGTCTCTCTTCCTCTTTTACAAGGACATCACTCCTATTGAATTAGGACCCACCTACTCCAGTATAACCTCATGTTAACTGATAGCATCTTCAAAGACCCCTGTTTCCAAACAAGGTCACATTCACAGGTACCGGGGTTTAGGATTTCAGCATATCTTTTGGGGGGACACAACTGAATCTATAACGGGGGGCGGTCCTGAGAAGCAGAAGAGGTGGATACAGTGTTAGGGTTCACTTGGAGAAAGCTCAGAAGCGGGTTGCTCTGCCTGGAAGCTGGGAAAGAGGAGGCCTGGGATCCCTCTCAGGTCCTTCCCTCCCCCCTTGCCCCAGTCTTGCTGCAGCCCAGGGCTAGATGACTGGCTCAGAAAGGGCCAATGACTTGCTGAGTCCTGCTGGCTCTGAGCCCCCCTTCCCGCCCTTACCCCCTCCAGTTCCGATACCTGCAGGGATACAACCCCTTCGACCAGGGCTGTGCCAGAAACTGGTATTTAACGATCTGTGCACCACTGGGACCCAAGTGAGTTGGCAAACCGGGGTCCTGGGGCTGGTGGGGTAGGGTGAGGCTGGGTCATCTCCCCTGCCCTCTTAGCCCACTGTCCTGCTCCTTTGGAGTTTTCTCCAGAGCATGCAGGAGCCTCTTGGGGCCTCCCTACTTATCTCTGAGTCCTTTTCCCCAAGGAATGGGGTGGAGGGCATGGCAGCCGGGATGTGACTGGCCTTGGCTCCCTATAGGACTAAGCTCCAGGCTGTGAGTTCTCTAAGCTGAGGGGACAGTGGGCGGCCAGGCCAGGGGGTGGCTGTGGCCCCCTGCATCTGGCCTGTTGCTCCCCAGGTACATGGCCGAGGCCGTCTGGCTGCAGAGAGTGGTGGGGCACGACTGGGTGCCCCTGCAGAACCTGCACTCCCCGACGTGCCCTTCTGCGCCCAGTCCCCTGGCCTCCCAACCTCTGAGCCTCTACATACCAGGCAGGGGGCTCCCAGGGAGTGGCGAGGCTTCAGCTCTCCAGGAGGTGAGGCGTGTGTGTGCGTGTGTGTGCACGTGTGTGCACATGTGTGTGGGCTTGCACACGTGTATCGGGAGAGGACGCCTGTAGATTGTGTGTTAGGGGAAGCCTCCAGAAGGTGAGTTGGCCCTGAAGTTGGAGCACCCAGAGCTTGGGGGAAGGAGGTTCTAGACCCGGAGGGTGCTGGAAGCAGGGTCACAGATGTCCAGAATACGCTCGGGGTGCCTGGAGACACAAAGGGAAAAGGCTGTGGGGCAGTCATTCCCCTTCTCTAGGCCTCAGTTTCCTTGGCTATTAATGAGGAGGCAAGACCAGTCCACTAGTTTATAATTTTAGCGGGGAGGGATTCCTTTATTTGAGTGAAATTTTTGCTCTGAAGCCCGACGTATGGAACATATGGAAGTGGAGCATTAGGAGTGGGGGTGGTGGGTGGGTACCCACAGCTCCTGGCCCCCTTGCAGTGACACCCCACAGTGCCAGCCCACTGCCTTTGCTCTGTTGCGGGGAGGTTGGGCAGTTTCTTGCTCCCAAGCAGGTAGGCTGTGAGCTGTGGTGCAGGGCATGGGGCGAGCCTCCACCGCACTCTGTATTTAGCTCCACGCCAGCCCAGTGTTGCCCCTGCTGCAGGAGAGAGGCCCCCAGACGGCGTCAGCCTTCCTCTCACATCTTCACACCCGGCCTTTCCAGGAACACCTGCACCAGAGCCTCACCTCTTGAGCCCCGCGTGCGTGGAGATGCCCACTCCCCTGGAGGGAGTGCCGAGACACGGCCCCAATGCCCATTAAACACCCTTTGCCTGCCTCCTTCAGCCGTCCTGCTGTGCGTGTCTGTCCTGGGTGCAAGGAGGTGGGGCAGGCTCTGAGGGGCTGGACAAAGACCTTCTGGGGGGAAGAGTGAAGACCCAACGTGACCTCAGGCAAATCACTTAACATTTCTCTTAGTCCTTAAAATGAGGCAGCAATAGTAACCACAGTGGCCGTCCTTGTCCACCTCCCATCGAGGCCTGGAAATGAGGGAAGGGAAAACCCACCAATACCAGGGACGTCAGCTTTGAGGAAAGACCCAGCCTCCTGCCCTGCTGCACCCCTGTCTGGCTGCAGGGGGCGCGCGCTGCCTGGGAATTCACCATCCTAGCCTGGTTCAGACTGCAGGCTACCTCATGGGTGGGGGCAGGGGGCTGTTCTCCATCACAGTCCAACCCTGCATCTTTCCTGAGCCTCTTAATGGTGACTTACCCTGGTCCCTCCCTCCTAGTGGGGAGTCAGGTGCTGGTTCTGGTCCTGTCCGTGTGATCGGTCCCAGCCCTATGAGTCTGCAGACCCTTGGGGACAGGATGGGTGGGGGACCACTTCAAATCATGGCTGTGCTATGATTGGGGATGGGAATGTTGTCAGAAGATGAAATGAGGTGGTTCGAGCAGAGCCAACACACAATGAACGCGGCGTGTGTTGTTATTATTTCCTCCTATGCGCAGCTGACAGACCACCCAGAGTTTCTCCAAGGGTGGCCCAGAATTGCCTGGGCCGACCCCAAACCACCGAATCAGAATCTCGGGCTGGGGTTACAGCTGGGGTCTGAATTTTTATCAAGGGCCCCGTATGATACCACCACACTGAAGTTTCAGAACTGCGGCCTTAGGAGGTCAGGATGGGTGCAAACCAGTTTGCTGCCCACCACCATTAATTACATCCGGGTGGAATCAGGGTGTGTGATGGAGGTGGAGAGGGAAGGATGAACATCCCCGGAGGACTTGTGGAGGTGGGCGTGTCTGCGTGTGTGGGTGCGTGCACGCATGCGTGCTTGTGTGGGGAGGGCATAAATTCATGGAGGGGGGTGTCAGCCCAGCCTTGGGAGGTGGGTGACCTAAGGTGCAGGACACCTCTTCAGTCCTCCCTTCCATTGAGGCTGCCCCTTTGTCTCTGGAGGCCCTTCTCTGTCCAGGTCCCAGCCTCACCCACCCTCTCTGGCTCTGGCTCTCTGGGCTCCTGGCTCAGATCTTCTTTCAACCCCCAGAATTCCGACTCACTCCCCCTTACCTTGGTCCTAGTATCTTCCCAATCCTGGCTCCCTTGGGGTTCAAACCTTTTCTCAGCCCTATCCCTGCTTAACTCAGAAACCCCTGGGTTCTGGGCAGGGCAGTAGGGTACTTGTTTGTGTAGGAAAGGCAGCTCCCTGCCTGGCCTTGTGTAAGTGGCTTCTGTGGCCACATTAAACATACATTGCTATTAGCGGCCATTGAGTCACCCCCCCATGGTGACTCATGGTGACCCTGTGCACAACAGAAGGAAATGCTGCCCGGTCCTGTGCCATCCCGTGATGGGTTGCTGATTAGACCCTTGTGACCCATAGGGTTTTCATTGGCTGATTTTTGGAAGTAGATCACCAGGCCTTTCTTCCTAGTGCATCTTAGTCTGGAAGCTCTACTGAAATCTGTTCAGCATCACAGCAACACGCAAGCCTCCACGGACAGACAATGGGGGCTGCACATGAACGTTTGGGAATTTACGTTCACATGGAAAGCTGAAGCAACCTCCATCTGTCTGGGAAGCCTGCCATTCATGGCCACATGGGGTAGGGGTGAGGAGGGAGATGAGTCCCTTCGAGCCCTGAGCCCAGGTGTGTATGTGAAAGTGGACTGTATATGTGTGCATATGTATATGGGCGCATATGTATATATGTATATGTGAGTGTGAACTGTATATGTGTGCATGTGTGTATCTGTATATATGAGTGTGAACTCTGTGCACATGTATTATGAATGAGTGTGAGCTCTATATGTGTGCGTATGTATATATGTGTGTGTGAACTGTATATGTGTGTATATATGAATGTATGTGTGAACTGTATATGTGTGCATATGTATATATCTATATGAGTGGACTGTTATGTGTGCATATTGTATGTATGTATATGTGAGTGTGAACTGTATGTGTGCATATTATATGTATATGTGTGTGAACTGTATATGTGTGCATATGTGTGTGTGTGTGTGTGTGAACTGTGTGTGTCTCCAGTTTGTGCGTGTCGAGGAGGGCACAGCTTGGTCCAGGCTGCCCGGCAGTTAGGAGAAGCCGTGGAGTGGGGTGCCCGCAGGGAGTCCTTGAGGCAATCCAGGCTTGGCTAGAGAGGAAAGGAGACCCAGGAACCGGGCCAAGGCCTGGATGTGAATCCTGGTGAGGGGGATGTTCATGGAACTGGTGGGGTGAGGAGTGGCTCCTGGACGGGGTGTCCCAGCTCCACAGGGGGCTGAGAAGGCCAGGCCCCAGTATCTGGAGCGGCCTCTCCCCGCTCTGCCGCTGCTGCCCTGCCTGGTTCAGAGGCAGGCTGGCTGGATGACTGGGACTGCACTTACTGGAGCCCTGCTTCCAGGTATGCAGGGGATTCACACGCCTCGGGCAGGGACCTCCCTCCTCCCAGACCACGGGTGAGGCATCTCCCTCTGATACCCTGGGCCTCAGCTTCCCCACTGGGTGAGGACATCTTTCTTCAGCTTCTCAGAGGAGGCTTTGACCTCTCCAAGGGCAAAGACTTCCAGCTCTGGGAGGTAGATTCTGGGCCTCTCTGGTCCCCCCAAGACTGGGATGTCTAGGATCTCTTTGGGAAACTCCCTTGGATCAGGCTGTCTGCTGCTGGAGAGGTAAGTGGGACTAGCCCACCCCTAAGCTTTGGGCTGCTCTCGGGGCTTTTTTCTTGCCAGGCTGGGAGGCCACAAATGAGCTGCACCCACCTTCTCTTTCTGCCTTCTTCCTGTTTCTAGTGAACCTGCCGTTGATGCTGAGATGTACCCCACCCAGTCCCTGGCCCACCGATAAGGGCTGGGGTGTTATTAGGGCCTGGTTGTGAGGCCAGCTCTCCATACACGCAGGAAGCCCTGCCACCCTTGCCTTCTGTGGGCCAGATCCATGGGGAGACCCCAACCCTGCAGGGCTGCCAGGTTCCCCCATGTCTGGAGGCCCTCTGAGAGGTCCCCAGCCTCTCCAGTCCCCCACCTCCAGACCTTCCCTCTGTGGGTCTTCTAGAAGGTCAGGGTGTGTGGGGCGGGAAGAGCAGTGGTCTGGAAGTCAGGAGACCTGGTCTGTAATAGGAGTGATAATCATATACACCTCACAGGTGGCCACAGGGTCCTAACTTTTTAGAGCTGGAAGGAACTCTGGGGTCACCTCATCCAACTTCCCCTCCACCCCCAGTTTCACAGATGGGGGCTCTGAGGCCCAGAGAGGGAAATGGTTGCCTAGGATGACACAGAGGTAGCAGGTCTGGCGGGGGCTCTGTTTCCCTGGCTGCCCTCCCGGGAAGGGCCGCTCTCCCACCCCACCCCGCTGTCAGGTCCAGGCACTGCATTTCACACAGGGCCTGGGGAGCCGATAACAAGGCCTGGCTTAACTCTCTCCCGCCCTGTGCTGGGAGCGATAGTGACACCCTGCCGCTCGGCCCTGCCCTGCCCTGCCCTGCTGCCCCACCCAAGAAGGCCTGGCGGTTTTCCTCCTTGGGCTAAGGGTGCAGCAGGGCAGGGGCAGTAGGAGGCAGGGGAAGTTTCCATGAGCGTCCGGGGCCCAGAATCCTAATGCGTCACAGGGCATCAGCACCTCGCTGACCCTGCTGGGCACCAGGGCACAGTGCCTGGCACCAGGAGACACTCTGTCAGTGCCCGAATCCCTTCTCTTTAGCTCTTAGCCTGCGGTGCGTGGCCGAGGGAAGCAGGCCCAGGGCTGAAGGCTTAGCAGGGAGAGCCGACCCTCACCTCTCTGGGCTTCTGGCCCCTGTACTGGGGAATGAAACTTCTCTGAAGCACTGCCTGGGCCAGCATCTTTGCTAAGTGGTTCATATTATTTCATTTAGTCCTCACAACAAACCTGTGAAGTTGTTACTATCATTTTAGCAGAGGAAACCAGCCCTGAGCAAATAAATAACTTCCCCAAGGGCACACTGCTTCTAAGGGGCAGAGCCCGTTACCGTTACACTGTGCTTCTACCAAGAGTTATCATTTTATTTCAGTAAAGCCTTGCGGTTAAAATGTGGGCTCCAAAGCCAGACTGCCTGGTTTCCCCAACTGTAAAATGAGATTAGTAATGGTATTTCACGGCATGGTTATGAAGATTAATTATGCCATGCATGTGAAGACCTTGGCACAAGGACTGGCACGTAGTAGGTGCTAGGTCGACAGTAGTGATAATTGTTACGTTATAATTGAAAGGATCCAGGCGTCAGGGCGCTGCCATCTGCTCATCGCCTCGGGATGCCAGTTACCATGACAACTGCCGCCTGCTCCTGCCCAGCCTGGTGGGGGTTTCCTTGTGGCTGGCGGCAAAGGTGAAGGGTGCTGCTGCATGAGGGAGGTTTGTGCTTTTGTTTTACTGAAAATTAACCAATGTTGAGTTCTTCAAGGGAGTGGTAAGGTGACCACCTAATGGCTCTGCCCTCCAGCAGCAAGGAGGGAGTTTCCCCAGTTAAGAGAGCACTGTGTTGCTTTGTTTGGTGGCCAGGCCGAGTGTTGCAGGCTTTGGTGATTCTGAGCCCTGCTTGAGCCATGGTCTCCCTCCTCCTTGCTCCCTCTCTCCCTGTAGTCTCTGTCTCTCAGTCTGCCCTTGCCTCACCTCTCTCTCCTCACCTTTCCACTCTCCCTCTCCTCTGTCTGCCCTGTTCTTCCTCCTCTTTTCAGTCATTCTCTGTCATGCCCCCTCCTGCTCTCTCTCTCTCTCAGCCGCCTCTCTCCCCCT